CAGCGGGTAGTCGTAGTCGTACTCCTTCCCCGAAGGAGAGAGAGAAGCAAAAGCAGGAGCGGACAGGATTTGAAACTCCTCAGCTGATCGAGACCCTTGATTAACGATCGCTGAGGTAATGGATTTATAAACAACCCAAACAGTGTGGAAAGTTTTGGCAGCTCTTCTGGCCAAAGTGAAAACGAAAAAATCCGCTGATGAATTTTAGTTCGAAAGTGGTAGTCACTGTCATTGCCATTCACCTGGTCAGCTGGCCAAAATGCACTCTTAGTCGGGGCCCAAAAAAATAGGTCGCCAGCAAAAGTGAGAGGCCAGAACACGGTTAAATTTATATATATAGATTTTGTTTTTGGGCCAGCAATGAAAGTAAAACGACCAGCTGGAGAAATGGGAGCATCGGTTGCGTGCGTTCAAAAAAATCACGAGGCAATGTCAATTTCAATGCCATTAAAATGAATTTCGTTTTAAATGCAAAACACAGGTAGGCAGGTAGAAGGGGAGATAACGAGGGAGAAACTACAAATTACTCGGGACAAGCCGGAAGTGCCAGCAAATCGGAGCGGGCTACCCGTCTTGGGAGCCGAAGCACCGGCTCTTGACAAATTATCCCCGACATTTTGGCCGGCAGCCGAGCTTAATTCTTGGCCTCCTCGCAAACGCGCCCTCCATTAAATGAGCTTGCAAATTATACAATACAAGTGGCTCCTGCTGGACAGTTGATTCATGGGCCCGGCCATTATACGTCATCGTAATTGAAATGCGACTGGAAATGGACGTGGAAATGTAAATGAAAATGGAGATGGAGATGGCGACTACGACGGCGATGGAAATGAAAATGGAAATGCGTGCAACAAGTTTCTCGTTTGAAATAACCTTAGAATTAATTGCCTCACGTTTCCGACGCAAACAAAAAACTTGTTTTGTGGCAAACAAAGGCAATTGCTCAAGTTGAACCGAAAAACACAAATTTCGGCTGGAGTCAAACACACACACACACGTGACCATCACATGCCAGCGAGGACAACTATTGATAGATGTAACAAATTTCCCCGCCCCCAAACGGCCAGTTGAATTTTTTTTCGATTACGAAACCAGCCAAAAAAAAAAAGCAAACCAAAAACCAATTGTTGATTGACTTACAACAGCAGCGGCGAACTTGAGCTCTTCACTTTTCTAGTTTTATTTTTATTCTGTTCGAATTCGTGGCTAATGATGAGGTCATAGAAGTTGGAGCTTGTAAGTCGCACGTTTTTATACGGCTCACATTTCCATAGCTGATTATGCCGAAAGATTCCAATAGCGATTCCGAGGCTTTTCAGTTTCCCCCCTCCCCCATTGCTAGAGATCGTAAAAGCCGGCGAACGAGCCAAACAAGCTGCGATAGCTACATTTTCAGTGTTTTCCCCTTTTGGGCAACACATCAAACTCGATCGGGTCACAGTACGGGTATCTATAGCTGTATCTGTATCTGCTGGATACTAGATACCACATACTGAATACTGAATACTGGATACTGGGCACAATGGGCTGACATCGGACTGAGGTCTGGGGACAAGCCCACACATCTGGCAGCCAGCTAGCTAACTGACAAATTTATCGACTCGCCACACGGAAAAGATACGCGCAGCCGACTTGGCATTGGGGAGCGCGTATCTGTATCTGTATCTCGGAACGTACGGGTACACGGAAGGAAAAGCTGATCAGATCGAAGATTAAACTATTAAATAAATAGATAAACATAAAGCGTTGCTAATCCCTTAATTCTAATATGTCACCTATCTTCAGAGATCCTTTACAATATTTTAGATCACTTTTTACAACCCTAAATTTACCTATTTCCTAATCTAAGCCAATTTATTTCAGTGCATCTGCGCTCGTGACGAGTATCTCGGCATACGTATGCAACAATTACAAATGTTTTAAGCGATTATTAGTGGAGAGAAAAAACCCCAGACCGGCAAAAAAACTAACTGCAGTGGAAACTGCAAGGGAAAGCAGAAGGTGCCGGGCAAAGTGTCACGCTGGTGGGACAGAGATGGCGAGAGGAAGAGAGCGGGACAGAGCACAGCTTGAAGCCGGCTCTTGCATCTCTTTCCCGCCGCAGCGCAGTCAGCCGGCAAACCTATGTGGCGTATTAGTATTAGTATTCGTATCTGTGCGAGCATGTATCTCACGAATGCATGTGCCCCGCTCATGTATCTAACTATCTTTGTATCTTTGCCATCTATATGTCTGACTTATGACGCAATTCGAAAAGTTCATCTGATCTTGTTGCGCTCTCTCTCTCTCTCTGGGTATCTCCGTCCTTTTCTCTCAGCCGGTTGTTGTTGTCAAGGCGCGGCCGCAGTCCGTAGAATTAATCTATATAATTAGCTGTAAAGCGTAGAAACATCAAGCCATGTATCTCTATTTAGCCCTGAAATTGTAGAGCATTTATTGCAATTGTTTTTCCTCTAACCTCTCTTTATTGGCTTGTATTTTACTCAATTTTTTTTTAATTTTCGCTGCTGTTGTGGGTGTTTGTTCCTCTGTCGGAATTCTTTCACGAAACCGAATTCTAAACAAATTTTCATTACGACACCAGCATCATCATCATCATCATCGCGATCCCCAGAACAGCGTCGTCGTCATTGAGATTTTTTTGGGTTCGCATTTGGATTCGGGGCGATTCTATAAATGCCCCATCCGATGATGTTTCACTCTTGAATTATTTTTCGCCGCCTTTATTTATTAATTTTGTTTGTGCTTGTTTAGCGAGCAGTTCAACGATTCCGAGTGACGTAATGGCAAAGGGGCTGTGGCTGGAGGATTAGGTAGATCAAGCTGAATTAATAGGGAATATACAGACAGACATAGAAGGAAAATTCACGAATGAGTGGTAATACTCGGTAATAAAAACAGCAATAAATTCCTTGAAACTGTTGCATTTTTCGACAGAGCTATTTAATATGGAATTTTATAGTCTCTTTTGGATCAAAGTGACTTGGAGAATTTTAGGGGTATCCCATTCCATCGAAGATAATTAAATGTGAAGAAGCTTCAGCTTGGGTCAATCTAATCTCGGGGGCTTGAAATCGAGGGGGTTATTCTATATCGAAGCGTACACGCAAGAAGGCCAACCCAGAGCAGAGCGTAACCCAATTACGTGCCAAAAAGCGGAATGCGACCCTCGACAAGTATTTTTTGTGCTTTTCTTCTTTTTTATTCGTTGCATAGTTGCACATAGAACGTGATTGCACATACACACTATATCTCGAACGGTACTGTACACTCGGTACACTGTACATTGGGGTGCGAGTAAATATATGCTCTGAATAGTCCAAGTACATAGGCGCATAGATACATATGTGCATGTGTATGCTGCGCCCCCGAAAAGGGGGAGGGGCTAGCTGTGGCCAAGCCAACCTTGACACAGTTTCCGCCGCCCCACGTTCATGATGATGATGATGTTGGCGATGATGAACGACGCCAACGTCGACAGAACAGCCAGCAGCCTTTCTCAGCTGCAGCGGTCAACCCCAAAAAAAAAGTATCTAAAAGCTGCACACAATTCGCATTTTCAATTCGCTGTTCCCAGTTTATCAAATAGTAGTTGTGGGTACTGAAGAAAAAATGTTCTATGTTCGTTTTATGATAAAAGAGTAGGAATTCCATAAAAAGGCTTGTGGTATAAATACAAGTTTGTGAATATTTTTAAGTTTATGTAGGAATTGATAAAAATTAGGGAAAATATTTGTGATAAGTTTTGTTTTTAAGTTTTAGTTGGACTTTTAAAGCAAACACACTTTTAGAAACATTAGTCATAGTGAGTATTACAAAAATAGAATACGCTGGATTTGCAGTATTTAAGGTTTAAAATGGTATATAAAAGTGAATAAATATATTGAAAGTAATAAAACAAAATGAAAGTCGTATTTACAATTTCAAAACCCTTATCTTTAAAGTAATTGTAAATAAATGTAGTCAAAGTTTCCAGAGAAAAAACGGAACAATATGGGATTGATATTGTTTCATATCAATTTTCGCATAACAAAATGGTATGATTTCATATCAATATAGTACTAACTCATATGTTCGGAAATATCATTTTGATATGAACACAGAACGGACCAAAATTGATATAAAAAACTGACTATTTTTGTTTCTTTTTTTTCTCTGCGTAGTATTAAGTTATCTATATCATTATATCTCCTTCCAACTCACCTCATTTCCAACTGTTGTGATCTTGACAATCACCTCGTCCTTGGTGGCATCGTGCTTGACGACATCGCCGCTCTGCTCGCGACCATTGTAGGTGAAGTAGACCCTCTGGCCGGGCTGCAGCTCGGTGTCCATGATGGACCGGAAGCCGGGTCCGATGAGGTCCGATTCGCGGAACTCCTTGATCATGGCGCTGCGGCGGAGGGCCTGAGCGGGACTGATGTGGACGCTGGCGACGCGACGCGGCTCCACGATGACCGACGGATCTGTGGAGGATATGGACGAGGACGAGGACGACGTAGATGTGGAAGTAGAAGACGCGGCTGTGGACTCGACGGCGGTCTTGAAATCGAAACGGACCATGTAGCGCGTGTCGGCGTTCAGCTGGGCCTCGCCGGGCGCCAGGAAGGTGGGCGGCGGCGGCGGGGAGAGCGGCCCCATGTACGAGGGCGGCGTTTTCACGTCCGAAATGGTGCCCGAGTACCAGAGGCCATCGGGACCCTTGGCGCACACCTTGGTGCCGATGATGGAGCGCTTGGCCAAACGGCGACCGGTCGACATTTTTGTACGTTCGCTTTTTCCAATTGGGTGTGGGTAAATTTTAACTTTAGCAGCGCTCTACTACGCTTGTTTTCTAGTTTTTTCGTCTGTTTTTGCTTGAACTTAGAGCCTGAACTTGGCCTTAATGGTTGTGGGCCACATTTTCTCGCACTTTAAACACTTTTGCCTTTGTATTGCACTTGAGTATTTCGGATTTTCTGATTTTCTGATACTTTATTTGCACTCTTTAAATTTTCTTGTAAATTACATTCACTATTTTTAAACGCACTTTGTCTTTTTTTGAGTTTATTTTTATTATATTGGGTTGTTTTGGTTGACTTAAGTCTGGCAGACGTTCTTGGTCAGCCTGAAGACGAGGGATTTGCCGAAACTGGGCACTTTCTTGATGATATTCTTGTGATAGAGCTCCAGAGAGAAGGTGACGCGGTGCAGGAGCCACTGGGGCGGATGGAAATGCGGCTTTAACTTCACATGCTCGGCGTCGCTGGGCGTCTGAATGGCGTGGCAGTTGCGTTTGTGCCTAAGCATAATCCAATTTTGACCGCTTGTAATGTCAGCTTGCAGTTTGAACTTCCTGCAAGTTGAAAGTTATTTTTTGTTGTTGTTTTTCTCGCTTTCGCTGCCGGTCGTTTCACTTTTCTCTCAGTTTTCTGGCTAACACACACACGCTCACTGGTAACACACAACACACAGAGATACAAACTCGCCGGAGAGCAATATGGGATGCAATTGGCGGCTGCTGCACTGATTTGTTTTGGCTTTTGAGTTTTCCTCTTCGGGTTTTTCGATTTTTAATTTTCTTTGAGTAAATGGCCCAAGAAACTAAACGAAACACCAAGAGATGGGCCCGTTTGCCTTGGGTTTTTGGCTTTTTTACTTAGTTTGCTTGGCTTTTCACTTGGCTGTTGGCTGAATGGCTGGTTTTCTGGTGTTTTGGTTTGGCGGAAAGGCCCGAAAAGCGCTTATCGGTCTGCTCCCGAGAGTTGGCTATCAGAGACTGAGGCGAGCGCACGAAAAACGAAACGAAACGCAAACGGCCAGTTACAGTTACCCACACAGATACACACACTCGCACTCGCTCTCCCGCTCCTACTCTCTCGCTCTCTCTCTTATGTATATATATACATGTTGTTTCTATGGCATCTACCTGCGCTTGGAAAAGCAAAATAAAACTGATGTGTGTGTGAGGCCTCCCCGCAGCATAAAAATGTTGGAGGAGGAAAACTGCAATTTCCACGGCTAACATTGGGAAATCGAGGTGTAAACCCCATATAATTATGCTATATGCGCAGTAGCCCCCATCAACAAACCAATGACGCCATCACTAGACGATCGGAAAACATACATAGCATAGCAGCATAACATACTACGCAGTTAACAAAAAAAAACCAATCTATAGGGCACTTGTCAACGCATACCCGCATCATAATTCCCCTGTGCATGCGTGTGTGTGTGTGTGTTACTCGCTCTGGTTTATCAACAACAACAGAGCGATAACAGCTGTGGGAGGCGGCGCAGCAACAATGTTGCGAAAACAGCTGTTGAGCAGCGAACCTCAGCCTCAAAACAAACGAGAGAGAGCCTGAAGGGATCGGCCAACCCTAACTTAAAACCCTCTTCAATACAATCCAAGTTTTAAAGGTCCTACGATCCTTACTCTTATACGAGTCATATGAATTTTCCTATTGTTGACTAACAAAAGAAAATATTTGCATACTTCAAGGCGTTGCCTTCAAGGTTAGTCTGAAATCCGAAATAATGGTCCAATATAAATAGCAAAAAAAAAGATATTTTAAAGTTTAATAATAACCACTTTCTTAAGATATAATAAAAAATAATAAATATTAAAAAATCCCGAATTCTTCCTTTGTAACTCCCTCTTTTAAAATAAGCATTGCCTACTTCAGGGAGTTATTCTCAATAACAGCCATTTTTAAATCCTAAAGTGCATAAGCATTGTTTACCACATTACATATGTTCAAAACTAGAGAGGATTAAGATCTTATTCACTTTTTATTAATACTAACTGTTGCTAGAATTTTTTGTTTGGAAGTTTGGAAATCAAATTGCCTTTGAATCAACGTAATTTTGATATGATCAAAATATTATGATACATTTTCCCTGACAGAGTCGCATAGGCCCCACAAATGTTACAGTAGGGCAGCGGAAAAGAGCCGGCCGGTTTTATGGTCTGCAACGATAACGTCACAGAATTTAACAGTTAAAGAGAGTGCTGAGTTGACTGTGTGTGTGTGTGTGTTTTCCATTGGTGTGTGTGCGGGGGAGAGCGCTGCTCTCTCTCTCTCTCTCTCTTTTGGCGACTCACAGCTGTTATGTGCTTTGAAATTCATTCGATTTTGTTTACATCAATTCCATGCTGGCGCTGTTGATGTGAATATGCTGCTGTTGCTGCGGATGGATGTGGATATATTTGGACGTTTTCTGGTATTTTTGGGCTCTCCGCTGTTCGAGAATTGTTGTTGCCTTTGGAATGACCTCTGTAGGCATAGGCATTCTCCGGCAACGTCAGCAAGTGTCGACGGGGCAGGGGGCGTTTATTGCGGGGGGCTGGCGAAGGGGAGTGGCAGGGGGCGTTCCAATCTTCAACTCCAATAACCATCACATCCATCCGAAACGCCACGGGGCCAAGATTTGCGTAGTTATTGTTTCTGTTTCTGGAGTTTCTGGTTTTTCGGGGTGGATTTTCTGGGGATTTTCACGCCGCCAGCATTTTATTGAAGACGTCATTTGCGAACGGAGTGGAAATCAAGGAAAATGCACTGCGTATTTCCCACTCCATCAGCTCTGATTGTTAAGTCAACCAAAAATAAAAGTCAAAAATGGAGGACGGACGGAAGACCTTGGTCAGATAGTGCGGAAATAATGCTTTCAGGTCTTATCTAGCCGAAAATTCTACTGATTACAGCCGAAGGAAAAACTTATGTAGACCTTATCGCTGTGAAAATACACAGAGAAAATATATATGACATTTTATAATTATGTTGATATTTATGCAGGATGAATTTCTATTTGATTCAATTTGATTTGAATTTGAAATGATGTAAAACGTCATTATTAAATAAAAATCAATAACATTATAATCACAATAGCAAAAAAAAGAAGCTTACCATTGAAATAAATACAACTTTATTACACAGAAAATTTAAACGAAATAATATGGTTCCTTTGGATTCTGAACTTGACTTATGAAAGCTTTTATTTCAAAACTTGAGATAAACTTGTACTCAAACTTTATTTTCCATTAAAACTAGCAGTACTAATGGTATTTAGATCTAATGAAGCATTATTTATAGAAGTTCAACTGGTATTTTGATATTTCAAATGGGTAAAAGATGATTGCTTATTTCTTACCACCCCTTGAGGGCGGAATAAGAAGAAGACGAAGAGGAGTGGCGGCCAAGTGCAAAGATGAACTATCTGGTAAATTCAATTAATCATTTCTCCAGTGGAAATTCCGCAGCAGCAGCAGCAACAACAACAATTCGAATCAACAGAGCGTTACCAGAGCTACAACAAATACGCAGTTACGAAAAGAAAACAACAAAGTGAATGTAAATGTGAATGTGAATGCAATCCATGGGTTACAACACCAAAAGCAAAACAGCAAAACCAAAGGCATCGAGCGAACGAAGGAAAACGCAAAAGGCAAGAGGCAAAACCAAAACAAAGCATAGGCGTTAGATGGAGCGAGATGGCGATAGTTGGATACAGAAAACATGCACACACAGATACACCCATACAGGCGCATTGACACATTACCCAAACTGGAAAATAGGTCAACCAGCTGAGAGGGCAATAGAAAATAGATGGCGTCTCGCTCCAACGCCTGAAGAGAGTGCATACGAGTGCGCTGTAAAGTGCTGTAAAGAGAGAGCATTACAGCGCTGTAAGAGAGCGCAATTAGAACGGGAATCGACTGTTAGCTAACAGCGGCCTCAATTCGCTGGCCGTTCTGATTGGACTCGCTCCAACTGGAGGGACAGCCAGCTAAAAGTTCTTAGCAGCTGTTGCACTTGAGTATATCCCCTCCCCCCACCTCTTCACCCACCCATTGACCACATACCAATTTTAAGATTTTATTCGAATTTTATGAAAATTAAACCGGATTTTCGGTTTTCTGTGTAAAGCTGTAATTACTATTTTTACCCTTTTTTGTCAGTGTTTTTATAGCCGCTGCATTTGGTAGGGCACCGCTTTTATTTCCTACACTCGGAAAGTATTAATTTATAAGACATTTGAAAAATATTTCATGGTATATTAAACTAAACAGCTAAGTTAGAATACTTAAACTCTTAAGTATGTTTATAACATCTATAAAAATATCCATAAATTAATATTATAAATAGTATCAACGCTTAAGCAAAGATCTAAACATCATAAAAAAGATTATTATTAGTTTTTCTTAATCTTAAATTCGATTCGGATTCCGAGTGTATTTCCATTCCCTCCTTTATCACATGCTTATACCCGTAGATATGCGCACTCTGACGTGTGTGAGTGGGGATTTGATTGGATCGCCTTCGAAACCGGATTTCGAAAATATGTATGTCATTCCATACCGTTCCATTCAATTACGCTGATGCCTAGGTATATGCCGAAGGTATAGGTCTCAGTCCCACAATGGACGGCCTTTGTTGGCAAGAAATCAACTTGAAATTACCCCGATCGGACGGCGGATTGAGAAGATGAGGGCAGTTGCCACTGGTGATGACGTAGAGAAAGTGCAAGCTGTATGCAAATTAACGACACTGAATCGGGGCGGATTAAATGTCCATATCGGATTTTAATGGGGCGCAAATTATCTCCAGCGCACTTTTAATTTTAAATGTTTGCTTAAAGTTGTGGTAGTAAAATACAGTTTAAAAGTATCTAACTCTAAAACTACCCAAATAGGTTTGTTCCAGCCAGAAAAATCTTTTGTTGCACATTCCTTGAATACCACATTTCCTCTCACTTTTTACCCCACATGTATTTTTAGCTAACCTTCAACTTTTACACACCTTTTAAGTTAAATAAAAATATTTATTGAAACTCCCGACTGATAAAAGAGGTCTGATTTAGATCTTATATTTAATTTTTCCCATCCCGTTAATTTTTTAATTTCGATCGAAAAATAAGATTAACGAAGATTAATGAAAATCCTTGACCTTCCTAATTCTTCTCATCGCTTTTATGGCTTATTACCTATCCCAATCTTCTGAATTTTCAGAACTTATTACAGCATTACGTAATCAACCCCATCTGCCAGCACTCACTAATTAGAATCGCTTCGGTTCACCCCCAAAGTTGGCAAGGAACATGTCAAGTAAGGCAAATTTGCTGTCATGACTGCGAACTTGGACGTGGACACGAGTCTGGACATGGACATGGATGTTGATGTGGACATGCCACCGACACCGCGTCGAGTTGTCCATCAAAAGATGTCAGTCGCCAAACATAAAGTTACACAAAACAAACAAACAAACTCCGAACGCAAATCGCAGATGTCGGAAAATCGCCCTTGACTCGAAGTTAGCATATAAACTTGGACACCAGTTTCGAGTCAAAAACTCCCACTCCGAATCTGAAATACGAAATCCGAAGGCCTTGACATTTGAAGTTGCGTGCGGGGATCATTAGAATGTTTAACTGTTTGCTGGCCAGAGTATCTACCACTTTTTTTTCGCTTCTTTGACATCCAGCAGGTCGCGAGGGGAGATTCGTTTGTACGAAATGGAAAATCAAGTTACCAACTAACAACAGGGTCGTGTGATTGATGTGAACATGTCAGCACGGACATGAAAGTGGACGGAGATGTGGATGTGGATGGGGATGGGGTTTGGGCTGGATTGCATTGGATTGGACTGGCAGGAAGCATAAATTGTAGACAAAGATGAGCGCAGATACAAGATACATGCTGCTATTACACGACTCACAATCAGCTGCAGATACAAATTTATGTCATGTGCAGTCGGGACATGTGAATGACAAAAAGGCATCGCCATC